TATAATTGGACTAACAGGTATACACTAACCCAATCATAGTGAACATGATCGCTCCAAGCACCCTTCAATCATCGCCACAACATTAATTTACCTGCAGTCAGTTCTCGTATCTCATTCATTCTCTCAGTAATGTTCACATACTTAAGACTAGTAGTTAAAAAGATTCGTACCTGCCAAAAAGTTGTCTAACTCGCAGAACGCAACACCAGCATAGTCTGCACAACATCAGCAACAACAATAAATAGGAAATACCAGCTATAACGATAAACACAACAGCAAGTGGCTCATTGTGTTATTCACTCAGTTACCAGCCACATCTAAAAGAACACTTTTCTCCCTCGTATCCCATTGGCTATGGCTCCACCCACTGAAACAGCCAGTCTCCCGTATACTTCTATTTTTTACCCAACTTGAGTACCATCGCTGACGTGGGTGTAGCAATAAATTACAAAATACACAAACAAAAGCCCGCGATCGGCGGCATCCGCTGTCGCAGCCCTAGCAGCACATTCGGCGTGGTCTCGGATAGCCTCGAATTATCTCCAGCGTCCATCGCCACGCCCCCCAGTGCTGTAGCCACGTCTTCCTCTATTTCTACATCCTTATCGTTGCCTCCGTCGGCTATGGGTCCCACTGTGATATCTGTGGGATGCTTTGGATTGACGTCTGATGATTGATGGACGACCTTTGGAGACGGCGGGAAGGACGACCGCAAAAACAGAAAAACAGGAGCTGTGACGGGGTATCCCATTACATGATTTTGGCCCCAATGATGTCAATCGGGAGATTATCTAGTGTGACGTTTTCCCTGCCAATATTACCCGAGAGGTCTAATACTAAATTAATATCATTGCTTAAGATAATATTCAAGTACTGCTCGAAGATTGATTGACAAAGGACATATCAACCATAGATCACCACCAATCGCTACTAGACGCGCGTAATGGGTGGTGAGCATGTTGTCGCCATACGACAATGTTGTTTAATATAGTAAGATATAGACTGAAGTTTATTGATAGCATAACTATATTAATACAGTTCTCTTTTTACCTTTACTCAAACTAGCTGTTTGAGTAGATTAGCTTCCTCTGCACGTACGAGTGTACGTGAGGTTTGGTGGCGCCCAAACAAAGGGAGCCCTTCACGGGTGTAATACCGACGACTACGCCATGGCACAGTCGACGTTACGGCATGCACGTGTAGTGATTACTCAGCGTGTGCAAGGCAGTGAAAAGAGAAAATTACTGTTTATTGAGTATGCAGTCCAATTGAAAAGTGGCGTCTTGCAGTTGAAGACTGCAGTCGATTTGAAAAGCGGAGTGTCCTAATTATCTTAGAAGCATCTCTATTTTTACATGACGGGGTCTTCTCTTAACCTTTTTTAGATACAGATAAACGTGGCCAATCTGATCCCTGACAAAAAACCTGATATGTTGCTGCATGTGATAAGGATTCAATTTACCGATTCCGTTCCTATATAAATGTAAAGGGAAATATGATGATTGCAAAATTTGATAGTTGATGAATAATCTCATCCAAATTGATAATCGTGGTCCAAAAAAAAATCGTCACTGTCGTGGGCACAATCGTTACACGGAACTGATCTAGGACCAAAATCACGTCTTCGTGTAGTTCGAAATGTAGAATATTGTAAACGAATTAAAATGTTAAAATTGCCTGCGTTTAAAACATGGAACCTTGAGCGTAGTATCAAGATCGTTTAATTTTCTACCCTCAGCTCCTCGCGCAATCGCTGCTGTAATGTACGCATCCCACCTATGACAAGTCTGTCTGGATCTGGATGGTCATCGTGCAACAAAATGATGGCTCGGACTGCGTCAATCTTGTCCTCGGCGCTGATCTATGTCTGCATGTTTGTTACACTTTCTCTTGTCGACTCCGATTCTTTAAAGTCCCTGACCTTTTGGGCCGTGAGCAAAAATCCCGCGTCAGCTTCTTCTCTGAGCAGTTCTATGGTAGTTAGCGCTTCCATCTCCGTGTCGGCCTCGGCAGTACAGCATGTGGCCCATCGGTTCGCGGATGTAGCTGAAGCATTTGTGCTAGCAGGATGGTGTTTAGTTGGTCATTGGCGTCATTGCGCAATCTGCGAGTGGTCGCATGGCCGAGCACTAGCCCTGTGTGCCGAAAGCAATTTAGAATAGCATCGCTTGGAACGTCACGTCAGCAGAATTTTACCCACTTCATCGCCGTGAGCTGGTACAGAGTGTATATAGTTTTTGGGTGTAATCCTTGTTCCACCATATCTAAAGCGTGTTCGAGCTGGTGATGCCTGTAACGACGCTTAAACACGACGATGATACCGGCAAATATGGGCTGCAGCTTTGCGGTCGTAGCTGGAAAAGAAACACTACTTTACGCTCTTTAACTCCATACCATGACCAGTATGTGGCGATGCGTTGTCGAGAAGGAGATCGATGTTTCGTTTTGAGCGTGCATGTCGTTGTCAATATCATGCAGCCACTCTCGACATGGGACAGCGATCATCCACGCCTTAAGGTTGCTACGATGATTGAAGCCAAGTTGATCCCCTGTCTTCTTCTACAAGCAGCGTGGCTTTTTCGATTGACCAACGATGAGGGGCTCACGCTTGTCCGAGCCGTCAGCTTTGCACATCGGAGAGACTGCCACACAAGTCTTGCTCTCCTTCGATCCTTCCACTTGTCGTTGGGCGATAGTCTTTTCGGGAGCAAGGCAGCAGAACAGTCCTGTTTCGTCCATGTTGTAAATACCAGCAAGCGGGGCTCCTTTCAGACGTTTTCGTATGGCATCGCGCTGCACGGGTATCTTCTCCGACTTTACGGAGACGCTCTCACCGTGGGCGCTAAGTTGCTTAAAGCCGTGACGTGCCTGGAAATATTAAGCCACTCCTTCAAGAACAATAGCAGCTGGTATTCTTGAATACCTATCAATACGCAAAATGCATCGCTCTCCTTTTAATCAGATCCCTGGACAGCATCACGCGTTTAGATAGACACTGCAGCAATCAATGTACAAGGGCTTCATCGACTGCAGGAAATGCTAGTACTCGGGTCCGCTACTCTTAAGGTCGAGGTCCATCGCGTTCGGATACTTCTGATGATCACGCAGAATACCGGAGATCGTCCCCTGGACTGGCACCTTGAAGAGACCGAACTCGCGCTTCCCTTATCTGCCAGCTGCGACTATGTAAGCATTGAGGTTGCGTCATGCCACTGGCAGATCTTCTCCTTCTGCTCATACGTCAGGTTACCAACCTGTTTGGGTCGCGACGGCATCGTTGTTCAGAAGGCGAATTAGCAAAGTGAAAATTGATTGTTTCATTTGTGCGTTATTTTTCTGGTTTAAGTGCTTTTGCTTTGCTGTCCCCTCGTTTTACTATGCTGCTGAATTGGAGCATCTTATTTTTTTTCCTATCTCTCTGATGGTGTCATCGTTCCAAAAGTAGGGGACTTCACTGCTGGCAGGCAGTGCTGGCGAACCCTATACACCAGAACCTGGAGGCTTAACTTAGTATTTTTGCTCGTACTGGTTCTCGAACCGGTGACCGCTCGGATGATGTTGCCACACCAATCGAGTTGGGCTACAAGCGTACACTAAATGTGTTACACACAACCCTTATTTAAGTTGTGTACACAATTGTTACACACACTCGCACGAATCCAGTTCAGGCATATATATCTACACTTTAATGCGTATGCACAACGTATCACCAACAATTTGTTGCGCAAAAAGTTGATTGACGCGTCGCTTGACTTGAAATCGTACTAAGATTAGGTGCTGAGCACGAATCCGGGCTCTTACACTGTTTTTGAGGGCTGCTAATGGCTGGAGGGGTGTTTGCGCCTCTAAGATTTGATATATTGCTATGTACAATACACTTGTGGTCCACGAGTCATATCAAATATGAAAGGTTTATCTGTAAATTGGAAAGGCTAATGCATCGACTAACCGTGTTACAGTTTATTAGGCGAACACCTATGTGTGTTCCGTTCCCCGATACCTACCGCTACGTCTGCCGTCGATTGTTTTCGAACTTATTTGCTGCACGACTGAACATAAAAAAAGAAAATTAGGCCAGTTTCGTTCTACCCAATCTTAATCATTGTTAGACGTCCTTTCTTCTACTTCGTGACCACTAGGTCCCGGCTACGTGCTCTCGTCGCTGTAGTGACCGTCGTTAGCAAGTATACAAGAGCACGTAATGCAATGTGGAATGCACGTAATGGAAAAGGACCATGAAGCACAAGCCCAAGTAGTTGAGGGTACCGAAAAGTAGATATGTTGACTAATACGAGGCATTTCATTTTGTGGCATGAATGGCTTGTAATTCATCCGCCGCATCGTTGTGTTCGTTTTGAGGCACAGTGTTTTGTGCCTCTGACCCGTCGTCGATTTTAGGAAGCTGTCCAGTTTCCTGCTTATAATCTGCAGCATACCGATGCGGGTATGGGCGTGACAGAAAACTCGTTTTGCTCATTCTGTTACAAACGTCAGCAAACTCACGCACGCGTTCTACTCGGTGAGGTCGTACAAGAACTTGCATTTGTGATCTAGCAATCGGTTAGATGGACGCTGAATCTGCTCCTTCTAGTGTTGCGTGCATTGGGTACCACCGTCTGGCGAGATAACTCCCCCGCCTACTCGGCTGCATTGCACAAGCACGTCTTGCACGGAACAACACAATCACGTCGAATGCAAACGACCGTTTGGAATATCTTGGAACAACACGTGGCCGAATCCTCCGTACGTGTGCCGTTTTTAACACGGTTGCGGAGCATCAAACGTGTGCGCTGAAAGCACGTTTTTGTTCCTCAGACATCATCAGAAAGGCAAGGGGCATGTGCATAGGCAGTGTGAGAGCATGGGGAGAACGAGAAAAAAAGATGTCACACGCTGGCCTCGGAATCGACCACCAAGCACGTATTCCATAAAGCCAGAGAGTGAGGAGCGCACTTCTCATTTTGCGCCGCAGCACTCAAGACCACCTTCACACACTAGTCATGAGACTGTATCTCTCTGCAGGCCTCGTTAGTGGTGCGCTAATGGTATCTGCTGCCTTCGCCCTGGCTTCTGGAGAACTGGATACTGTGGCACTTGGCGCACTCAAGAATCAGCGCCCACCCACCGGGAGATTGCTGAGAGGCGGCGCGGACGAAGGAATGACCCAGGAAGAAGAACGGACTGGTCCTTCCACAAGCGCAACGGGGAGCATGCTACAGTCTGCCCATGATGCTCTCCACAAAGCTTTCACGGACTTGGGACTGCAGTTGCCGAAAGTCGAGAACGGCAAAGTCGATGAAAAAGCGGCGGAAGCGTTTTGGTCGAGTCCGGCACTTCCGAAGTGGTTTAAGAGCACAAAGGGTCTTGCGACGCCCTCGGAGTTTGCGGCATATCGCTACCTCATGACGAGACTCTCCTCAGGAGACTTGGCAACGATAATCCACCACCAGGCGACGAAACCTCTTACCAGGTTTCGTGATGCGGTTGCGGGTCTGATGAAAATGCCTAAAAGCTTGCCTCGCCAAGTGGAGGAAATGCAGTTTGAGTGGTGGAGATGCAAACATTACTTCTTAGAGTACGTTCTAAAAGATATTCTTCGCCTAAGCGAAGAAGAAGTGGGGCATCCGATTTTGAAGAGGTACACCACGTACGTAAGGGACATTGTAAAAGACATTTGGATTCCGTAAAGGTAGTACTATCGTTTATCGTGTCTTTGCAGCTTTTAACGATTATACTAAAGCAGATTGCGTCGGACGTTCAATACTTGTAAGTGCTTGGTCCTAACTGTGTTCGAAAAAACCAGCCTCGTCCGTTTTCGGTGCGTTGACGTCACACCGTCATAGCATGCGCCACGTCGACCCGAAGCTCTGCCATTTCTGACTCGTAAAGATAGTTTAATAACTGCGTGTCGATTGTTGTCGATCCATTACTTGATGTCATTTTGCGGGGTCGTAAGAAACTTATAATAATAAGACAAGATATGTCCCCACCGAGCGCCGTGTCGAACAGACTAGCAGATGCAGCATCAGTCACAACACTTCGTTCATTATCGGAGACTCGAGTTGACACGATACCGAACCAGCAATCGGCCCCAGGCGCTGCTGCATATACCGTATTCTTTGGTGGAGAAGCGGCACGGTGCTAGTACCTATTCTCTGCAAAAGACAGATGCATGGTCATGGGGCAACAGAGCTCAAGGATCCAATGGATTGTGGTGTTGATGAAGAAAGAGTCTTCGGACATCGTTGTTGTACACACACCCTGTCGCGACAGCTATTGCATCGTGACCAACTTTGATCACGTCTCCCTCCATGTCGTAGTGCAGTACGTTGTATACGACGGTGAACTCATCGCCTGATCCCGTTTGCATCGAAGTGACCAGTCTGGCTCGTTGACCGATGGGGGGTCTGACTTACCATTCGTAGACGGCTTTCGGATGGCAGTCGCCCAGGAGCTTGACGCGCAGATGATAGCATGTGACACGAGTGATGCTGTCCAGTTCGCAGAGGGGCAGAGCCATCACGTCCAAAATCGCTGTCCGAGTGTGCTAGTAATGTTTCACGTCTCTTGACGTGCAAAGTCTGTAGGTTGGTGTCGATGATCTCTTTCCTCCGACTTTGCGATGCGGTAAATGAAGTAGAGAAGTTGGTTGTTGGCACATCTATTGGAGTTGAATTATTACTGACGCTACTTTTGCCGTACAATCGACGCTACACATCACCGGAGACTACCGAACATCGTCCACCCACCTCGCTGTCCTCTTTTCACTCGGCGCTCTCTGTTCACTCACGTGAGCGATTTACTTGTTCTTCGTCGACTTGTCCGCGTCATCTGACTTGGCTTCTTTCGCCTTCGCCTTCTGAGATGACACCGACGACGTCTTGCTGTCCTTCTCGTTCGACTTGTTTTCAGCACCTTCCGTCGCAGTGGCAGTCGAGGATTCCTTCTTCATGGTGTTACCATCGACGCTAGCGCCAGTCGCAGACTCATAGCCGAAGTAGTCCGGGGACCCGTAGCCAGGTTGGCCGTAGCCATAGCCAAAAGACGAGTAAAAGTCCGGGTAGCCGCCATAGCCACCGTACGACGAGTAGTAGTCCGGGTAGCCGCCATAGCCACCGTACGACGAGTAGTAGTACGGGTAGCCGCCATAGCCACTGTATCCCATGTCGTATCCGTTGCCGTAGCTGTAATAGTCGTCACCACAACCTTTGCCATAGCCCTTGCCATGGCTGTAGTAGTCGTCTCCGTATCCCTTGCCATAGCCGTGTCCCTTGCCAAAGCCGTATCCCTTGCCATAGTCGTATCCGTTGCCATAGCTGTAGTAGTCGTCACCACAACCTTTGCCATAGCCGTTGCCATAGATGGAGTAGTCGTCGCCGTAGCCCTTACCATAACCTTTTCCATAGCCGTAGTAGTCGTTTCCATATGCCTCGCCGTAGCCGTAGTAGCCATCGTCGTAGCCATATCCCTTGTGGTCTTGCTTGTCGTAGCCATATCCCTTATGGTCATGCTTGTCGTAGCCGTAGCCGACGCCGTAGCCCTTGTAGTCATGTTTGCCGTGGTCATAGTCCTTGTGCTCGTAGTCGCCGTGGCCGTAGTCGTCGTGACCGTAATCGTCGTGACCGTAGCTATAGTCATGCGAGGACTCGGTCGCCTTGGCGTCTTCAAGTCGGCGGCGATAGTGCGAGTGGCCTTTGTGGTCGTCGTGGACGTGCTTCTTGTGGTGTTCGTGCTTGTGCGAATGGTGGTGTCCGTGATCCTTGTAGTCGCCGAGTTGACGACGCGAGAGAATGTCAGCCGAAGCACCACGGGCCTCGATAGCCTGCAAAACAGACGCGGCGACGCACAGACTGGACACGGCGAGCAGCTTGGCGTGCATCTTGGTTCTTGAAGAGGTGACTGGAACGCGTTGATCAATGGACTAGTGTCGAGAGGTCCTCAAGGTTGAGCAACCGAACAGTTGTCGTGATCTGGTGCCGGGAAGCTGAAAAGTGAGAGAGCAAGGAGTTGTCTCGGACGCGCCGCGTCGAGAACGAAGACAAGCAGATGCAGCATCAGTCACAATGCTTCCTTCACTATCAGCGACTCGAGTTGACACGATACCGAACCAGCAATCGGCCCCAGGCGCTGCTGCACGTACCGTGTTCTCTGGTGGAGAAGCGGCACGGTGATGGTACCTATTCTCTGCAGGAGACAGATGCATGGTCATGGGACGACAGAGCTCAAGGATCCAATGGATTGTGGTGGTGACGAAGAAAGAGTCTTCGGACATCGTTGTTGTACACACACCCTGTCGCGACAGCTATTGCATCGTGACCAACTTTGATCACGTCTCCCTCCATGTCGTAGTGCAGTACGTTGTATACGACGGTGAACTCATCGCCTGATCCCGTTTGCATCGAAGTGACCAGTCTGGCTCGTTGACCGATGGGGGGTCTGACTTACCATTCGTAGACGGCTTTCGGATGGCAGTCGCCCAGGAGCTTGACGCGCAGATAATAGCATGTGACACGAGTGATGCTGTCCGGTTCGAAAGGGCAGAGCTATCACGTCCAATACCGCTGTCCGAGTGTGCTAATATCGCTTCACGTCTCTTGACGTGCAATGTCTGTAGGTTGGTGTCGATGATCTCTTTTTCTCCGACTTTGCGATGCGGTAAATGAAGTAGAGAAGTTGGTCGTTGGCACATCTATTGGAGTTGAATTATTACTGACGCTACTTTTGCCGCACAATCGACGCTACACATCACCGGAGACTACCGAACATCGTCCACCCACCTCGCTGTCCTCTTTTCACACGGTGCTCTCTGCTCGCTCATTTGAGCGATTTACTTGTTCTTCGTAGACTTGTCCGTGTCACCTGACTTGGCTTCTTTCGCCTTCGCCTTCTGAGATGACACCGACGACGTCTTGCTGTCCTTCTCGTTCGACTTGTTTTCGGCACCTTCCGTCGCAGTGGCAGTCGAGGATTCCTTCTTCATGGTGTTACCATCGACGCTAGCGCCAGTCGCAGACTCATAGCCGAAGTAGTCCGGGGACCCGTAGCCAGGTTGGCCGTAGCCATAGCCAAAAGACGAGTAGTAGTCCAGGTAGCTAAAATAGACTCCTATTACGTAATGATAGTTCAGTTGGTGTAAAATGGCAGAGATGAGGTACGACGCATTTGGTGCAGCCGGGCGTGTTGTAAAGTATCAAGACTGAAAAGAAGTGGCCCGGACTCATGGACTGAAAAAGGTATGCTGTACGAGAAAGTGTGTTCAGATTTATATGCACACTACCAAGATATTCTTACTATTCGAGAGTTTGTGTAAGATCATTGTACAAACTACCAGATATTGCTATACCGAAAAAGAAATTCGATCTTTGATTTTATTTCTTAGCTCAGCAACTTGCGCGCTTATATGTCATTTTAGCTGGATTATGGATTGAAATCGTGTAAGCATCTTGCTACAATAGACGCCCCGTGTGACGACGGTTTACTTTAGTATGCTTGAAAGGTTAAAACTGGTAGCCAAAATGCAATTCTTGATAAGCCCATCGACTCTTTTTTTGGTATATTTTCTGTTGTGCAGACACCGTTCGTATTTTTACCCTTTTACTGTCTTGTGGAAATACAAAGGATTCTGAAGATGTTAATGTGTCCATATGAGCAAATTATGTCGCTGAATCAGGATCTCGGTCGCTAACCCGTGTTATCGTCCGACATACATATCGGACCACGAGGGTTATTCTTAGTTCAGATAAAGCTGAGTCATCCAAATATCGCAAATAGATAGACAAAACCATTTTTCCTGGTACTTGCTGCTGTTTTATGCACAATATTCGCTCCGATCTGCGATTATATAACAGTTTGTTTGTGTGCTAATTGCTACTTCTCGGATACAACCATGTGCGTGCCCTACGCGGAAGCAAAAGCTGACGTCTTCGCCTCCTCCACAACAGCCGCGTGCTGTAAAATCACACGCTCATAGTCGTGCGGCATCACACGCACGAACTTGTTCGCAGATGTATCCCAGTTGTCCAGCACCTCCTGCGCCTTAAGGGATTGTGTCCGGTCCAGATGTTTTACAATTAGAGCCTTCAGCTCTTGGATCTCAGAGTCTGACGCAGTGTCAATGAGCGCGCCCACGCCTACCATGCCCAGGTTGCACTTCTTCTGGAAGCTACTGTCCTCGTCATAAATATAAGCAATGCCACCCGACATACCAGCAGCGAAGTTGCGACCCGTAGAGCCGAGGACAACCACGCGACCGCCAGTCATGTACTCACAGCCGTGGTCACCCACACCTTCGACTACAGCTTTCACGCCAGAGTTGCGCACGCAGAAACGCTCGCCAGCCTTGCCTGAGAAAAAAGCCTCGCCACTCGTAGCACCATATAACACAGCATTGCCAACAATGACATTCTCCGGATCCACACGTCCCGAGAAGTCCGGACTTGGGTAAACTGACACCTCACCACCAGAAAGTGCCTTGCCAACGTAGTCGTTCGAGTCACCCTCCAAATCAAGACGAACGCCCTTGGCAAGGCCGAACGCCAGACTCTGACCACCGTGCCCCTTCAGCTTTAAGTGGATTGTACCGTCAGGAAGACCTTCCTCACCATAGCGTTTACAGATCTCGTGCGACAGCGTGGCGCCGAGCGTGCGGTCCAGGTTAGTTGCAACGTCTTCGATCACTACCGGGGTCCTGCTTTCCAGCGCGTCCTTAGCCTTAGCGATCAGGCGCATATCGATGCAGTTCTCAACATCGTGGCTCTGCTCGATCTCTTTTTTCACTCCTGCACCCTCATTTAGCGTGCTAGCGTTTATTAAAAGCGGAGAAAGATCGAGCTTGCGGCTTTTGTAGTGCAGCGCATCCTCATTCACCTTAAGAAGGTCCGCACGACCAATTAGATCGTCAAGCTTGCGGAACCCCAGGCGACGCATGTAGTCCTGCACTTCTTCGGCGAGCATAAACATAAAATTCATAACATGCTCTGGCTGGCCCTGGAACTTCTTCCGCAGCTCTGGATCTTGCGTAGCAATTCCGACCGGGCAAGTGTTCAAGTGACACTTGCGCATCATAATACAGCCGAGAGCTATCAACGGACCCGTAGCAAACCCGTACTCTTCAGCACCAAGCAGAGCAGCAACCATCACATCACGCCCAGTCTTCAGCTGACCATCAGTCTGCAGTTTCACGCGCGACCGAAGATCGTTCAGTACCAGCGTCTGCTGCGTCTCTGCAAGGCCTAACTCCCATGGCAGACCGCCGTTTTTAACGCCAGTCCATGACGACGCACCAGTGCCACCATCGTGGCCAGACACAGTGATGTGATCTGACTTCGCCTTGGCCACTCCGGCAGCAACGACCCCGACTCCGACCTCGGACACGAGCTTTACCGACACCTCTGCCGACGGGTTCGAGTGCTTGAGGTCGTGAATCAACTGAGCCAGATCTTCGATTGAGTATATATCGTGGTGCGGGGGCGGGGAGATAAGACCTACGCCAGGCGTAGTGTGTCGCATCGAGCCAATGTATTCACTAACCTTGTGTCCAGGTAGCTCACCACCCTCACCTGGCTTTGCGCCTTGCGCCATCTTGATTTGCAATTGGTCCGCGTTTGACAGGTAGTTCATAGTCACGCCAAAACGACCTGAAGCTACTTGCTTGATAGCTGATCGGCGAAGATTAGGCGGTTCTCCCAGCTTCGTAAAGCGCTTAACGTCTTCGCCGCCTTCGCCAGTGTTGCTACGTCCACCAAGCGTGTTCATTGCAATGGCGAGGGCCTCGTGCGTCTCCTGCGATATGCTCCCCAGACTCATGGCGCCCGTGTTGAAGCGCTTGACAATGTCAGCAACACTTTCCATCTCCTGCAGCTTCGGCATCTTGTCCTCATCAACAAACTTGAACTCTAAGAGGCCACGCAGATTTACGCGCTTGCAAAGCTCGTTTGTCTCCTCGACGTACTGTGCGTACGCTTCGCGCGAGTTTTCGCGAGCAGCAAGCTGCAGCGCGACTATATTTCTGGGTGAATTGTAGTGCACCTCCGAGTCGTTGCGAAAGTGATAGCTGCCAGGATTACGGATGAGAGGCAGCATGTCCGAGTGAAGCGGATACCCGGCTTCATGGAAACGAGAAATATCTGTGTATAGAGCCTCAAAATCCGTACCCTGGATGCGCGAATTCGTTCCTTCGAAGCACATGCTGATGATATCGTCACCTAGACCCACAGCCTCAAAGACTTGTGCACCCTTGTACGACTGAAGCGTAGAAATGCCCATCTTGGACATGACCTTTAGTATACCCTTACCTACGGCAGCGCGGTACTTGCTGAAAACCTCCGAGTTTGTCATCTCCTCCTTGGAGTGAGCGTATATTAGACCTTCCTCGTTCATCTTCTTAAGCGCCATCTCTGCCATGTGAGGGTTGATAGCGTCAGCGCCAAAGCCCAACAATGTACAAAAGTCGTGCACCTCCTTGGCGTCTCCACACTCTGTGAACAGGGCCATACTTGTTCGCTGCTGCGTACCGAGAAGGTGCTGGTGGACGGCACCAACAGCAAGCAGAGATGGCACCGGGTACCGATTGACACCAGCCAGCTTATCAGACAACACAATAATGGGAGCCTTCTCGTTAACAAGCGCGTCTGTGGCTTGCTCGCACAGGCGGTACAGAGCCTCCACTAGACCACGCGCACCGCTGCCAGCAGAGAATGTAGCATCCAGCACTTTCGGCGTCCAGTCCGGATTATTAGTGCTCTTAAGAGCAGCCATTTCGGCGTTCGACATGACGGGGTGTTCCACCATTAGTCGCTTGGCGTGCTCTGCTGTCGCATCAAGCAAGTTTGCTGCCGGACCCACTGGGCACATCAAACTCATGACCAACTCCTCGCGAATGGGATCAATCGGCGGATTTGTAACTTGAGCAAATAGCTGCTTGAAGTACTCAAATGGCAGCTTAGGCTGCTCCGACAGCACAGCCAGCGGCGCATCATTACCCATGCTGCCCAATGGCTCTTTACCCGTAATACCCATTGGCATCATGAGCAAGTCCATCGTCTCCGTCGTGAAGCCAAACATATTCAAACGCCGATTAAGCTCAGCATGGTTAGACTGACGCTTGTTCTGCGGTGCTGTCTCCCCTTTGGTCGCAGTGAGCTCCGACAGCGACACGAGATTTTCCTCCAACCATTTCTTAAAAGGACGGCTCTCGCTAACTGACTTCTTGACTTCATCGTCCGACACAATCATACCGCGCTCGAAGTCCACGAGGAACATCTTGCCAGGCTCTAATCGCCGTTTGTATTTAATGTCTTTCTCCGACAAGTGCTCCAGCACACCAATTTCACTAGAAAGAAGCACGTGGTCGTCTTTCGTGACATAGTATCGGCTTGGCCGCAGGCCATTGCGGTCCAGCGTGGCGCCAATGTACTTGCCATCCGTAAACGCCATCATGGCTGGACCATCCCATGGCTCCATCAGCAACGACTGATACTTGTACATGTTTTTCTTGTGCGGATCGATCAGCGGATCGTTCTGCCAGGCTTCAGGGATCATCATCATCATACCCTCCGGTAGCGACCGATTACACGAACTGGCTTTGGTCAAGATCTCCAAAACAGCATCAAAGTTTCCAGAGTCCGACTTGGAGTCCGAGCACACTGGCAGCAGATCTGATGTGCGGTTGCCAAAGTACGAGCTGTGCAAAGTGCCACCGCGGGCGTACATCCAGTTCTTGTTGCCACGCAGCGTGTTAATCTCGCCATTGTGACACATGATGCGATTCGGCTGCGCCCGATCCCACGATGGGAACGTGTTCGTAGAGAACCGAGAGTGCACGAGCGCCACGTACGACGTAAAGTCCGCAGCTGAGAGATCGTTATAGTACTCAAACAGCTGTTCAGGCGTGAGCTGACCCTTGTACGTGATCGTGCGATTACTCAGCGAATTGACGTAAAAGTCCGAGAATTTCTTCTCGTTCACACTCGTGACGACGTTGCGCAGTCGCACAAGCTCCTTCTCAAAGTCGTCGCCCGACAGCTCCGGGTTCTCGTTCAAGATCATGACCTGCTCGACATGAGGCTCGGACGCAAGAGACGTGGCGCCCAGCGTCGTCGACGTCGTGGGCAGCACGCGCCAGCCGGCGACTTTGAGCCCCAAGGCTTCGGCCATGTCATCGAACGTCTTTTTCGCTAACGGAATCGCGTCCGGCGCGTTCTTGTTGAAAAAGACGTTGCCCACCGCGTACAATTCTTTTTCGAGCACCAAGTGTCTCGTCTGTACGCCAAACTCGCCGTCGGCTGCGACGCGCTGGATAAACTCATGCGGCAAGGCGACCAACATGCCGGCGCCATCGCCCGACGCGGGGTCGCAGCCACAGCCGCCGCGATGCGACATGCGCACGAGCATCTCATTGGCCTGGACGACCGTGGCGCGCGACGGCTGTTTCTTGAGGCTGGCGATCATGCCCACGCCGCAACTGTCCTTCTCCTCGAGCGAGCGGTAGAGTCCCTTTTGCTCAAAGAGCGCGCGCTTGTCGGCGCCTACGCCGGGGATCGAGCGGAAGCCACGACGCCGTAGACACGACGGCAGGGACGGGTCATGGGGGAGCGTGGCCGGGACGCGGCGGGAGAGACCGATCGAAGAGGAAACCGAAGCGACGGCGCGGCGATGGAGGCGGAACATGCCAAATCGGAAAGTGAGTGGCTCAATCCAGTGCGGAATGCGGAATGAATGTGCAACGGCGGACGCAGATCACGTTGTCCTGGCTGTTTGGATGCACAGAGGCACCAGTTGTGCCTGAAGTAAAGCGAGCAGAAACCGGACGGAAAAGAGGTATCGACCAATCAGAAGTGCAGAAGTTGCTCTAGTGCTTTATGGCAACGTTGCGAAAGAGGATGGTGTTGCAATCCACGTTTGGTCTCCGCCATCCGTTTCAAATCTTTACCTGAGCGATAGTAACGATTCGAGATGGTAAAGAGACCGTTGCCTTTTGTCGGCATGCTGTAAGGCAAGGCGCTCTGCTCAGTGTCACTTGTTTACGTCGGTTGCTTTGACATAAAGTAGCTGTCTTGCACGAGTCATTGCTAGATTAGGTGCTGGCAAAGTCCCTTGCATGCACGATGGCAATGTGCATGCGCCTTGTTGACATTTATTTAGCCCCGGTGCATGACAAGAATGTTGCGTGGACAGGTCCAGAATAGCTCATGGGAGCGGCTCTTTTGTTTGGCGAAACAACGAAGGACCCATTAGGTACAGTTTAATCGTGAAACATTACGTTGATTTGCCGGACACCATTCTGGCAACGAGCAATTCGTAAGACTTATTCAGTAATGATGCACGACTGGTACCGAGTAGTGGATCATGGTGAGTGCAGCAGGATGGGAGCATTGAACTGCAGCAAGACATTTGCTGAGTTTTTCTATGCAAGAACTTCAAGCGGACAAGGTCCAGGTCAGGCGGCGACGCACATGTGCGATGGGATACATATTGGGCTCGTGTCTTTATTCGTTGAAGCCCCGACGTTCACTTACCGACATCATGTCACGATAAGGGCTCATTGAGCCGCATTTTCGTTACGAATGTACACGCTAGTCGTTTCTTGGTAATATCAGTAAGTATAAGTGGGGAGATGACATCACACATACTCGTTACGATGAATTCGAGCTTCAAAGTAGAGTCCGGCATGTGATACGTGTTGCTATCGTCGACAGGGCTGAGTTGTTTTCTGGGCTGAGGTCCAGGCAAAACACAGCTTTTACGTCTCCGTCTTCAAGCTTGTACTTCAACGCAGGCGATAGTATGATCTAGTACGAAAAGCTCGGGCCATAGTGCCGACAGGCAAACCAGTCGCTTCTATACTCAGATCGATGACATCGTATCAGATATTGCAATCAGGAAGTCGCATAAAAAGGGACCGATTATTTTGGGTGCGAGCGAATCCAGCTCGTATACAGAGTGTAGTATTTGGCACAATGAAGATTTCAGATAGGAACAGAAATAGGCATGATTGTGGCATGAACTTCTAAGAGTTGAGCGTACCACTGCGTTAGCAACGTTGCTTGTACAACCTTTTCATTCATGAACAAGTCTAGGCTTGCTCTATCTCTCACACGTGTACATGCCTATTTTACCTTGATACGTATTGGACACACGACGTCAAGTCTGGTCGCGCTGCTCATTGGCAGCCAGCGTGTCCAAGTACAACGACGTGTGCGGTCAGAGCTTCAAGCGCTACCGGATATGATTTCACCGCCTGTGACAGTCACGGAATCCGCTCGCACTGTCTCAATTTGTAACGTTGAAGCTGAGCTTGCACTTTTGGTTCAACTTGCAGCAGCAAGAAACGAGACGACCTTGTGAAACGTGATTATTGAAGTGGAGTCGCGTCCGGTGCCGGCAGAGCAGCACCCGTGCTACTCGTTTTTGTTGTAGACGATAGGCGAATAAACTTACGTTGGGGAATTGTTACCCGCGCAAAGGATTTAGGGGGGTTCAGTTTGGCGCTGTCACTACGAATGAAAGACCTGCCTAGGTCGTTGAAATGTGTCAATCGCTTACGTAGTAGTCATAAGGGTTAAAATAGCCATTAGTGTTAGTCTGTGGTTACTCTGTGGCCGTAATGTACGATTGCCCAGCGTGAACACAGCGTTTACGAGCGTGTCTCGAAATTACATCAAGAGACTTTATCAGATTAAATAACGACAATGAATTTTAATCACATAATCAAAATCATTTTTTTTTAAATCTAAAGCAAATGATTGACAAAATGATTGATCATTTATTCGAGATGTAATACACTAAAAAGACAATATTTATAATCACGTAATTTCTAAGATATAAAAAAACCTACTTTAAAAATTGTTGCAGATTAAAAATGCCCTAAATTTAAAAATTAAAATTTTTTTTTGAACATCATCAAAAATCTCCTCTTAGAATAAGTAATAGACAAATAGTTATTTATTTAATGATATATCTTACGATGTTTTTAATTTTTTTATAAAGTACAATTTAATGCCCTCTCTTTTACATGAAATGCGAAATAATACTCACTTAAAAAGGATAAGAAATCACACGATTATTTGCATTTATAGTTATTTTAAGAATTTGCTATCTACCGAGATTTAATTTTTCTCACATTTTACCTCTAAGACGCAAAAAAAATTATTTTTAGAACATATAATCTCTTATGAGAATTTTTTCTAAGTTTAAATAAAAATCTCAGAAATCAAAAAGATTAAAAGCATTTTTAATTTTTTGGGAGAGATTTGGATTTTATGTATATTTATGAATAATGACCTTTCAATGAAAGTTTAGCAAATAAATTACGTTAGAGATGTCCGATTCACTTTTTTAATATTGGCAGAGCCTTGGCAAATAGGTTTCCAACTTTAAGCAACTTCTGTAATGGAAAGAATAATAAGCTTTCATCAAAATTAAATGTGCTTTTTAAATATTTTTACACTATTTGTTTGCTGAATAATTTTAAGACTTATTGCTCTTTTTACAAAAAGATTTTACTCGTTTTATCGGATTAAACACTTGCCCCACCGCTTGTGTAGATTCCTGTCAATTACTTCGAGTTTTGATCTTACAATCATAATTTTTAGGCGGAGTGCTATTTGCGCTTGCCGTTATTTAAAAAAACAGCACTCATCGTTTACGGAATAGACTACCAAGGTATCTAATCCTGTTCGCTACCCAAGCTTTCGGTTCTCATTGTCATTATATACCCAGGTAGTTGTATTCGCTATCGATCTTCCTTCTATTATCAGGATCAGTTTTTGAACAACTTCTCTATTTGATTCTAACGTTAAACGTAAAATACCATGAGCTGCCGGATGTCGTGGACCAAAAAAATTGAAAGTTTTTTTTAAATCCAAAACTTAATTGATAATACTTTGAAAATCTTTTGAAAAATCTGATCTTTGTCTAAACATAGGTGGTTCATGCTTTCGGACCACGCTGCAACAACAGACTCGTCATGAGATTAGCGATTTCGATGGATGTAATGGGACGTTATAAATGCTAGTTGGCAACGGACACATGATTGATGAATTGGAGTTGCATATAATCCCATTCGAAAAAAATCGTGGAGGTGGCAGAAAAAGGCTGGCAACACCGGTTTTTTCATCGAGTTTTATTAGGCTTTACTATAAAATCCAATCAGCGAAAATCATTAAACTCTGTTTCTTTTGTTTTATCCCTTGCGCAGTCCGTAGCGCATTTCTCTTCAGTCAGCCTCGCACCCGTAAATATGAGTCGTACTATCTCCGGCTTAAGCAATAATGGTGCGTGTTTATCTAGGTCGGGTTAGATAGTGGATGATGATTCGGTCGTTGAGGTGGAGGTTCAAGTCGTGGATGAAGCACTCGAGCCGTCAGGAAAACAGGCCGGAGTTAGAACATGGTACGGGGATGCTTCACGGATTGTGCAGTCGCCGAAGCTTAAGGCAGAGGTGTGAAAACACTGCTGACGTCATAACAACCACCACAAAAGAGTAAGTACGCGATGCACCTTCTAAACAAGTGCTCCAAGTTTCTTCATGTTATAAACGGTCTAGTGCTTTTGGAGCACCCGGATTGATTCGTGTCCAGCAAAAATCGGCATCCTTGCGGAGCAGCGTTGTTGGAATTTATGGATCTCTACTTCATGTCATGGTCAAAGGTACATCAAGGAGTTTTGATTACCTTTGCTATTGCAGTCGGAGAAGGAGAAGTTCCAGGTCCATTCGCCATGTATTACTACGCCACAGGGTCGTCTATCAGCACGTTGAGGACCTTCATCTTTATGAAGCTATTCGCGTGCTGCGCCCTCACAAAAATGTTTTTCCGAATCGCAAGAAGCTCGAAGGTGAATTGTTTAGAAAGTGCTACGATAGGTTGAAGGCGAAATGTCAACATTTGTATGAAAGGCACTCATTAGTGTCGATAACGGATGGATGTCGGACATCAAGAACGACCTATTTACCAACGACATCGCCACGTCTCCTACTGTCTGTTTTTCCTTGAGTCAGTATCTACTGAACTGCAAGGTCACAGCATCGATTGGATCGCATCGAACATCATGCGCGTATTCGATCACAATGCGCTGCCAACGGTGTCGGGCGGTGACTGACACTACTTCGGCGAGAAAGAATGCCTGGCAACAGCTTAGCAATGCGTTCTTATCGCGTTCATTCATTGCTTTTATTCACAAAGACTGCATCTTTTGTGAAGGTTGTGCTCTTCGCATCAGAACCAGGAAGGGAAACGAAAAAGAGGTGAAGTATACTGTAGGCATCCTTATGTGGACATGCTTTTGCGTGTAAAGATCTGGTAAAGTATTCCACAATCATCGTGTTGTGAAAGAACGCCTTCAAGAGGCTCAGAAAGCTGAGTCCTTACGTATCTTCGTTCGACCCGCGCCCACTCGTTGAGGGACCATTCAATCCATTTGTATGTCGGAGCTTATACCAAAACCCCTGATCCCTAGCATCGTCAGCTCTCGCGTACTTGTCCTCGGTACGGCTGAGCAACAGAAGATCAAGGACCTAGTCGTCGGCAATGACTTCGTCGTCAAGCTGAGCAAGGCCATTGTAATTCGACACGTTAATCGTCAAGTACTAGTACGACAACGTCCCGATCTCAAAAGTGCTGCCGGATTTTGATAATCTTACGGACTAGTTAACTGCTATCTTTAAATAAGTAGCAATTACTCAGCTGCAGCTGCAGTATTTGAGAAATATTGCGTCTTCTCGCTTTCAAATCATGTATGGGGTAGCTCGCGGTCTGTCCTATCTCCTCAACTTTCGCCTTTTCGGTGATGATCTGCCGCCACCTAAATTTCCATGAACTCGAAGACAAAGCTTTGCAACATTCCCAATGATGACACCACGCCCGTGGACGACACTAGACATGAGTCTTTGTTCACCAAATTGATTGATTTCATCATCCCGGCGCGGCATGGGAAGGCTACGAACTCATTCCGATTTTCGATACTGACGAAAAAGGCGAAGACGCCACTGCAATAATGGCTGGCGGATGGTGTCCAATGACCAAATCTGCAGCTCTTAGCATTCACGCTGTTCTCAGTGGGAGCATCCAGCACTGCACCGGGATGCAATTTCTCCACAGTAACGTTCATTCGTTCAAATTTTGGTAATGCACTTAGCTTGGTGTCTAGTAAAAGGCTCGTCTACATAAAGAGCAACATGAGCGCTTTCCACTATATGCATACCGCGGAATACTATCCACCGGGTGAACAAGGCAACCCGAGCAAAAGAAATTAATAAAACCAAATGAACCTTGTCCAAAATCATGGTTGTCAGTTCAAATCCAAACCCGATGAGTTTGCTAAAAAAATCGGGTTTCCCCCCTTGGGCAAAATTGGCTGTGTTGCGTTTCCATTAAGCACACTGAGTACGGCGATGCTATATCAATTATAGACCCCACAAGAGTACTGCACCGATACAACTTCTAGCTATGTAGCCACGAAGCATATTAAAAATGGGCCAGCCGCGTATAGGATTCTATTATCGTTGTTTGCTAGTTCGGGTACGGCAATGTTTGCGACTGTTCTTGTCGAGAGAAAATAGCGCCACTACGGACTTACGACTAACTAATTCAGCGAATAGCTTGAAGGTATGTTGCTAAAAGGACAACCGATAACGGTACGCATTATTGTGCGCAGAAGTAAAATAAAGCGTATGGCACAAAATGTTAAGGAAGGAACTGAAGTCAGAAAGATTTTTACTCCAGAGGAATCGCGTTGTCCGCATTTTACGAGGTCAGCACTAATTGTACCAGAAACTTACAAAGTCTTCTATTGTAGAAAAAAGTACCTTAAAACGTACAAAAAATCTCGTTTTGAACGCTGGTAAGATTGTTGCGACTGTCTAATTACGAGCTGAAAAGTGAAGTTTTTAGTGACTGCGCAAAGAGACTGTCCGACTTTTGCAATCTACATCATGTACGTGCGTGTTTTAGTATGTGTCTTTAAATATCGCAAAATATACTTGCACTTAGTACGGATTGCGATGCAGCCAGTCAAATCGCGTGCATAAATCCAGATAATTAGACTGTCTACTTTATCAAACTTGGGTGCGCCGGAAAGGATGGATCTAAAATGTAAATATTGCTAGACTATTTAATCCTGCAGCATTCTCATTCGCCCAAAACCTATGTATCCCTAGTAAGGGTAGCTAACAGTCGTCTTTTTTTACAACAATCGCCTCATCCTCCACAATCACTGCAATTTACACTCCATCAGGGATGTCGTCTCGCTGAAAAATATTGTATCGTACAGTTCGCGGAGATGCGCAGCAGATAACGTCTAAGTGGGCACGTCAGCCCGCATAATTTGCCTTGCAATACGACGTCATAAATACGCCCTACTTGCTGTAATCCTTCGCTTGTGCCACTTCACAATAAATTAGAAAAAAGTGATGACACGGAACATTTCTATGGATACGAAGTGCCCGGCAAGCGCGGCTGTCAAAACTTTGATCGTGTATATCAATACATATTAAGGTAGGGACTGATCCAATATGCTAGCTCGTTAATTATATGGACAGGAGAGCAGAAAAGGCATCGTGTGTACCGGAGATAATTAAAGCATGATACAATATCAATTTCACCGCCATCTACTCCGGCTATTTCCTACAGATTACAGCCCAATGGGCATACCAAAAGACACCATCTAAGTACAGGTAGAGTGCCGCGCAGGGCAGAACTGCGTAGCCCGTGCCGTCAAGGATCTGCCTTGCCGGTGAGCGCAGCACGCGCAGAGACTTTGCCGCGTACCGCAACCGTCTTTATGACTTATAAATAACGAATAAGGCTTAGAAATTGACAAAAAGATTCTCGCGGCTCTCTCCGCCCTCTCGTGTCGCATAGAAAACATGTAGACTTCTTAAATAAGGCTTGGCGAGGATGAGCACATGCGTGGTTCTATCGAGAGTGAATTTTTGCATCGTATTAAAAATTGGTTATACTAATATCCCACTCTTTTTGGAAATTCTGTGAGGAGTCAAAGTGTCAAATGTGTTGCAGCTGCGTTAGACATAATCTCTTTGCAGGTCACACTGTATCATTAACTTCATAAACGATATTGTCGTTTATCTGTTTTTTGTAAAAATCCATTGTTTTTTCAAAAAGTTGTGAGCCCAAATGGCGAAAGAGCGATCTCACCTAGCGCTGCCATACGAAGCGCGTTATTGTCCTCCCGGAGGAGACGGGCAACTATATGCCGCCACCCTCGGCTCGGTGAAGGATACGCTTAGTAGCGGTACCCCGCCCACCCGCGCACAGACGCCATAAAGCATGCAGAGCTCGGCTATTACCTCGTCGCCTGAGTGCAAGATCATTCTCACAACGTTTCAGCAGACCACGGACCTACTACAGACAAATGGCAGACAGACCGTGCCAGCCGCGCAATGTAAGCAGAGGACATGTCGCCAGACTTCCATGCCGACACACCAGACACTAGCGCTTCCCACGGATATGTTCGGGTCATCACAGGAAACGGCACGACCCATGGAAATGTCTTTGATCGAGACTATGCGTGTGGCAGAGCTCTCATATGCCTTGAAACGTAAAACGTTTGAAACACACAAATGCCCAAAGCTAGAGGCATAAGTTCAATGTGTAAAGCGAAAATGCTCTGATTCTCACAATAACGCCGGACAAAAGACTGTGCGAGAGAACGCATGTTGGCGGATACGCGCATACAGCTGCAAAGTTTACAGGAAGTGGAACGTGCGAAACTGAAAAACGATGCGCACAGAAGAGCGTCCGGTTCGCCAAGGTTGGCCAGGCACAGGAGCTAGACAACAGGATTGGAAGAAGAATCAAATCTTAGGCAGTGCAAAAGTATAACTGGATCATACGTAGTGCGACATACAAGCTCAAGCTGCTCTTCAAGCGCAAAACCGCGCCGGTGCAGACGCACAACTTAATGGACGCCAACGTCTGCTGCAAGAGAATGAGCAGCACTAAAGGAAAGAGCGATGGTAATTTAGACAGTGCACGAGCAGCAACGAGAGAAAAATGCGTAACTTTAGGTGAAGAAAGAACAGCTTAGCTCACTGAGGCGTGAGCAAGAACGACAAGTACGGTCACCTACGGCAGAAAAAATTCGAGCTCAAGATCAAACCGCTGTCGCAGCTGTCTACGAGCGTGATCGACGTGACGGAGCTGCAAAGAGTAACTGGGTGCAAGCTCCCTTAGTTACTCCTGTCTTGTTTCTGTGGAATCTGCAAGCCAAGTCAGATGGGTAAATCCTGATTTCGCCTAACAAGGAATCAAAACTAAAAATCAGATGTTTTGACGGGACAGAACCTTACAACGGATTGGGGGCGGGTTTCCGCCAATAGGCGAAATCGCTCGTAGAAGAAGTGTTGAAAAAACGGCTGCAGCTTTTTTGGACGGAGTAATTTAAGCTTATTCAGCACTTACGACTTCGAGCAACTAAATACTTCGACAATCATCAAAGCGAATGGTTTACGACCAATCCGACCTTGGCATACGCCATAACTTTAATGACGCCGTCGTTCACCGCTCATTTAAATATGATGCAAACGTATGTGTTATTTGAGGCCACGAAGGCGGCAGAATACAGATGTGACGATAATTTTTTTTTATCTCGTGGCCTAACCGTCATTTATTTTGGAGAATATTGTATTACATGCGTCACATCTAATTTTGCTCGCGAAGTAGGATATATGACGAGGTGATGTTTTTGCTTAATATAGCGAGTTGGCACATTAGGCGCAAGAGAAGGATAACTCTCCCTTATCTTAGAGGCCCGTAGGCAACACTGTCAATGCTGCGGATAACATCAGCAACCGCGTATGTTGCACATGTAGTGAAACAGGACACAGTTCGCTATGTGTCGCAAACAAGAAGATTTCGAATGAAGATAGAGAGACTCATTTCATTTTTAAGACAAGGGGCTTGAAAAGCGATGAGTAGTGGGCATTAGATTCAGGTGCGAGTCGACATCTGATGCAAGTCTTCTATTTGATGTCAGCGAATGATCACACTACATGGACCTTGAACAGGAAGATGGGTTAGTTCTGCAAGTAACACTATGCAAGAATGTGGATCTACACGTCCATGTGGATTAGATCTTGACCGCTGAACTTTGACAAATGTCTATTTGGTCCCCAGTTTAACAAAAAAGTGTTGTGGACAATCATGCAAGCGGGGGTGCACATGTATGAAGAAAGAAGGATTGTATGCATTAGTGAAGGATGGACGCACAATTTATTACATGTCGATGGTAGGCGATGTTTTTATGGTAAACCAATTGCTGCATCGGTGAGAGCGTACTTAAAAATAAATTTGTAATGGCCGCTATTTCCGACAACATTGCAGACGACCGCGCATACCAACAAAGATCGCTACTACAGTTTCACAACCGATTTGGGCTCTTAGCATATGAAACGATTGAATTGTTGGCAAATGATACACCATCAGGAATATTGCTGACAAGTCGGTCTTGTTCAAACTGCTTAACTTTGTGCGGAGGAAAAACATACTCGCAAGAATCAACCAAAAGTTGGCTCCGGTCAAATCGCGCCTACGGACAGAATTAGAGCTGTCGTTTGCAGTAACATCCAAGGCCAGATCTCACTACGAGATATAAACAGCAACAGGTACATGATACAATTTATTGATCACAAGACCAACTAGTGTCGCGTATTCCTGGCTGCTACAAAATACAAGTCCGATAAAATGTCCAAGCACTTTCTAGTGTGTTTTGAGAAGCGTTTAATTGCCGGGTCCATGTGCTGCCCACGGCTAGCTGAGATGAGGCAAATAAAGTGAATTCATTCTGCAATAGCACGGGCATATCCAGGAATAGAACTGAAGCGCGAAATCAGGCGGTAAATGGTGAGGCAAAACGTATGCATCAAACAATGATGGATATGGTCCAATACATCATATTTTCATGTGTCCTCCCATCGATTCTTTAAAGGCTGGATGCACACTATGAGGCCTATGTACTGAACCGTATGCCAACAAAGGGTAAATCTGGGAGGAAATCTCCGATTAAAATGCTGCTGAAATAACCTCCAGACATCGTGGATGTTGTGTTTTTGGCTCAAAGTATGCCATATTCTGGGACCCCGACAAAAAAACACTAAAACGCCGAGGTGAAGCCGAAATAATCATGAGCTAAATGACGAAGCCAAGAGATTTAACGTTTACTTTCTGAATTTTCAATCAGTCATTACAACTCGCCATGTTTAGAACATCGAGAGTGTAACGGGGTGAATCGTTACATAACAATTTATAAGAAATTGTTAATAGAATATAACTATAAGAGTTATATTCTCAGAATATTGTCATAAGGACAATATTCTGTAGCACTTCCGAGTAGTTCCTAATTGGTTGATATAGGCCATTATATCAACCAACGAAGACGCGCCACGACAGACGCACGCAATGAGTGGTGAGCAGATAACTGATTTACACATTTGTATTTAGTCATAGTTAGATGAAGATAAATAGTGATTTATTGCAGACATTAACTATTATAAATACAGTTCTACTTTTTACTCTAACCGAGTACTCGCTTCTTCTTACCGTCTTCCTCTGCACGTACGAGTGTACGTGAAGTTACGAGGCACCGCCTTATTCTGTTATCAGAATAAGTAGCTTGTACTGTCACCAGTACAAGCTTCAGGGTGCCCCGTTACACCTGGTAGCACTTCGTAGTCCGTCCAAGGACCGCGTTCACATCCAACATGAATATGTTGGATGATGAAGATGACCAAAGCTTTCACGCTACGCGTGACGGCTACTCCCATTTGAGCGATGTCGAATGGGATGCGGTTGAACGAATGGGTTTGACCATGGGCATCCATGCTGTTAGCGTCATGCTAGAGGCTCTCAATAGAGATGCCCAACATGCTACTATCGCCAAGTTCATTCAAAATGAACTTGACGCAGAACGCGAGAAAGTAGCCTTGCTTCACCAACAAGGTTCTCAACAAGCAGAGTTGTTGAGAGAACAAGGTGCTCAACAGTTTGAACTGTTGAGACAGCAGCAGGCTGCTGCTGGCGGGTCGATGCACTCGCGTCGGCCCGAGACTTTGAAGATTGACATCTCAAAGTATAGGGGAGTCGAAGAAGACTCCCTTTTGAGATGGTTCGTCGAATTGGATGACGCCATAAGGGCGCGTCGCATCGACGACGGGGATATGCAAGTTGCATTTGCCCAGTCAAATCTGGCAGGACGTGCCAAGACTTGGGCACTGGGGCTCAAGTTGCACGACCCATATGCGTTTGGGTCGTTGGAAGCCTTCAAGTCGCGGCTCAGACAAACGTTTGAACCGCCTAGAGCTGAGTTCAGAGCTCGAACCGAACTCTTGAAGCTCAAGCAGGGTAAGCGTGATGTGCACACTTACGCTCAACATATACGACATCTTACGAGTTGTATAAGTTCCAATCCGGTGGATGAACACACGTTGGTTTCGGTGTTCATGCAGGGTCTTGCGGATGGTCCCGTCAAGACTCACCTGTTCCGGCTTGAACTAGATTCACTAGAACAAGCCATTTCCATTGCGGAGCAGGAAGACTTCAGTCTGAGACAGGCTCGCGCCAGCTCGACATCGTATCGTCAACCGAGACGATATGACAACGGAGGTCCAGAGCCGATGGAACTCTGTTATGTAGAGAGCGAGAAGGCTCGCTCTACAGGCTACAAGAAGTTGCAGAGATGCAACAGATGTCAAAAGACAGGACACTACGCTTACGAGTGTAGTGCCCCTCGTCCAGTGTCTCGCGACACTGGGCGTAGTGACCGTCCACCCATGAGAAAGGGGCAGGGACGAGGGTCCGCAGTTGGTGCAAAGACGCAACAACGGGATGGACCGTCAAAAAACGGTCAGGATCAGTAGGTGCGGAGCACCCTACTGATCCAGCAACGTCAAGAGAATTTGTAGGCCTCTTGATGAAGGTTGCTCCCAACACACAGACATTGTGCGTTGCTGCTCTAGGTAATGAGATCTCACTCATTACCTTGAAACTCGAAGTGACGAATAAGTTGTCCCTTCGAGCTCTAGTCGATTGTGGGGCGTCCAACAATTTTGTGCGACGCCAATCGCTAGAAGATGGTCACTTCAATTACAGTGAATGTGACACACCTCCTACGAGGATGACGGTACGTCTTGCGACAGGCGCATCCGTAACCGTCATGAAGCGTATAGTGAAGATTCACTATACGCTAGAAGATACCCAATACGACGATGACTTTATCGTATTGGATTTGGATGACAAATTTGATGTCATCCTTGGAATACCGTGGCTCAGAAGGTACGAACCACGGGTAAACTGGCAACATCGGACAGTAACGATGCCTGCCGCTTGTTCATCAGATGGCCATCTGATGAACGTTTTGGAGCGTCCACAAGCGTGTGGATGTACTACGAGTGAGTGCGATGGCCTCACTTGTGGTACGGTCGTTAGTACGACTGCACAAAACCTTAGTGTACCAAACGGTTACACTTCGGAGCAAAGTTCCGGCGGCTGTGAGGAAACACAGGCTGCGCCGAAGGTCCACCACTCGAATAAGTCAGGTGGACTGGGACAAAGATGTATCCCTAGAGGGGAACATCTAGAAGAGAAAC